AAATTTGCCAAGTTTGATCAAAATATAGGTATCCATAAATAAGCAAACTACAACATTTTAAAATATTCTCCATAAGAATAACATAGGAATTTTAAATTTAAATGTTTTTGAGTTTTCTTCCCTATAGGGAAATTCGCAAAAAAATAATGCCGGAGGAACATTTTAAAAGCATAAAACTTGAGGAAATGACTTAAAGTTCACATTCACACTAATCACGGTATTGTTTTGTCACAGACATATATTTGGGTATTGACATAGTTTTGAAATGATTTTGTTTCGTAGTCCGTATGCGGTGTAGCCTAACAATCCACAAGGTGTTATGTAATTACTAATTGAGTCGGGGCCGCCGTCTTGACCCTTCGTAAGCAACCAGTCATAGCACCGCTACGCTACACTCGTCACTGTTATCATATCACAACAATTCAACTTTTAAAATGACATTTACATCACACATTCAAATCTTTAACCGTTAATAAGGCCGGTTTCAAAATCAGAATGATTATAATTATCATGAGAAAGAGTGTCGTCAGAAAGGCTGCAATCGTCATCGGGAAGGTGAACTATCATCATAAAGGGTTTACTCAATTCACATTATAAAGGGCCTATAGTGGTAGCAAAACGGGAGTGCCGATGGAGACCTGTGGGGGTGCGTGCGTTTAAATGGACTTGACCTGGTCTCCATCGGCACTCCCGTTTTGCTACCACTATACTAGCATCATAAATTGTGGAAATGCCATTAGAAAGGAAGGTAGTCGAAGTCGGTAATTTAAAAGGTGTACTGTCTCAATCAGAAAGTGCCTACTGTGATAAGAAAGGGTCATTAGAAACTGTCATAAACTATTGGCATAAAGAGCAGGATTGTATTTAGAAATGGTCACGTTAGAAAAGGTGACGTTAGAAAGGGTGTATATATAGTCAACGAGCTCTAATCATAGCAAGGACGAGCTCTAATCATGAAAGTACCCTAAATCCTAGTATTTTCTTTTTCTTTTCAATTTAGGCTACCTATTAATAGCGAGTTTCAACAAAAGTTCTCGATAAAGTGGTTTAAATACCTGCATAAAAGTTATCCAAATGTTGCTCACGGCAACCGGTTTCAATCCACAATAGGGATCTTCATCAGGCCGATCAGGATGTCAAAACATTTTTTCTCTTCTTGCGAAGGTCGTCAAAAGGCGTAAAAAACATGCACACATTGTAGTCACAAACACGAAACACGGACATTTAACATTGAAGACACGCCGAAATGACTATGTGTGCATGTTTTTTACGCCTTTTGACGACCTTCGCAAGAAGAGAAAAAATGTTTTGACATCCTGATCGGCCTGATGAAGATCCCTATTGTGGATTGAAACCGGTTGCCGTGAGCAACATTTGGATAACTTTTATGCAGGTATTTAAACCACTTTATTGAAATATTGGTTATCCGGAGGCTAAATCACGATGAAAAGTTCTCGTTTCATTAGTCGAATCCTTAAATAGTCCATTCACAATTTACTTCAGTTTTTTAGCACTCTACGAATCACAAAATCCACTTCTACGGATTTCTCGATAACATTATTACTTTGCACTTGCAGTTCCAATCGAATCGACGATAAGATAGAAGAAGTGGTAATCGTTTGATTGTAGCAATTTAGATAAAAGTTAACAGACGGTAGACACGCTATGTTACGCTACGCCACGTCTCCAACGAGGCGTTGGAAAAGGAAAAGTGGAAAAGAGATACAATCGGAAGAAAAACAGAATATCAGTACGAGTTGACAGTATTACAAACAATATTTTTGCGAACTTAACTATAGTGGTAGCAAAACGGGAGTCCGATGGAGACCAGGTCAAGTCCCTTCAAACGCACGCACCCACACAGGTCTCCATCGGCACTCCCGTTTTGCTACCACTGTAGATGTGTGCGGTAAACACGTTTTACAAACCTTCTAAAGATTGTAGACCGTAAGACTAAATTAATTGTCTTATGTAATCGATCCTTCGTTACAGCTCAAAATTTGCCAGATTTCCACATTTCAGGCCTATTGATACATTCACGATTGCGTCGCACACGGGTAAAAGTGACAGAATTCGGTATTAAAAGTGAGTAAGTAAATCTGACGATGTCACCGGCGTAAAGAAACTTCGCTACCATCTACTAGTATCTGCGGACGATGCTGTCAACATTAAAACAAACAAATCTGATTTATTTTGAGCTGTGGTGTCGGGTACATTCTAGACATATCTTTCCAGTAACGAAAGCATTACTTCAGAGGCTATAAAACTGGGGCTTAATATCAGTACTTTAAGTACGTTGGTCTACTTTAGTCATGGTTAGTTGTATTATCTAGCGAAAATTCCTGATAGTTGTGTGAACATGGAAGTAGCTAGTAAAGATACAATCGATGAACGATTACAACGATGACGATTGCAGCATCGTTGTTGAATATTTTAGGTTAAACTGTCTAGCCGTCATAGAGTGTTATTATGGAAATATGTCAATTGTAGTCAACATTTCAAAAGTAAAGGAAAACCACATGTTATTACCGTTGCATCAGTCATTGTGTCTCAAGAGACGGTAGTTTTAGCGAATTTCCCTATAGGGAAGTAGCTATTACCGTAGATGGCTCAGTAAGACCTAGGCCCGGGACCGAATTACTTTTTCATTTTGATGTCCCCAGAGCGGCATAAACTTGAACAAGTTCGCGAACCAGCATGATCGGACCACGGAAACGGAGTCTTGCGGGGAGTTTTATGGAGTACAAATCGGCTTTTCTCATTTTTGACCCTCAAAATACAAAATTTACCAATTTCTCTCCTGACCTTCTTAAAGAGCTTAAAAAACAAATTATTTAGTATATCAAAGTGTTTTGTATGACTGTTGGTAACGGAGAAAATTTTAAATTTAAAATTCCTGTGTGATTCTTATCGAGAATTGTAAAATGTTGTAGTTTGCTTTTTTTGTATATTTTGATCAAACATGGTAAATTGATTTATCTTATACTAAGCTATTAATATTTTACAAAAAAACACACTTTTTTAGTTTTCTTGTAGCAGCAAACGTAGGTACTATTGTTAAACCTAATGTTATTTAAATAGATTTAATTGAAAATCCAATCAGGTAAATGAAAATTTGCTTAGTCTGCAGATTTCCTGTGGCGGAGGTATTATTATTCAGCTTCGTTTACAATACAAAGCGTTTTTGGTCGCACGGAAAAGTAACCCTGGCGTAGAACTGCATTGGTATTTGAACTATAGTTCGGCCGCTTAGAAAACGACCTGCGCGCTAATGCTAAACCAATGCTGGAGGAGGTCGCTTTCTAAGCGGCCGGTCTATAGTTAATGCATTGAATGCATTGGACAACTCCCACAATTACATCAATTCGCTCCTTAGGCAGTCCAAGAGCGTTCAATAATTCATCGTAAACACACGAGCAAGCGTGGTGTTAATATTACCAGAATTCAAACCTCGCATGAATAATATACGAGGACATCCTACATACGAAGAATATATTGACGGTGTCAGAATTCAAAATATCGTTTGGATGGACTTCTATTGAATTTCAAAATAAAAATAAAATGATTAATTACTCATTTGTAGGCTTACTGGTTTTCTAGCGATTTACAGGGTGTTTGCTAACCATTATAATATATTCATTTACTCAAAAATTATACATTCAAAAAACTTTCTAGTTTTCTTTCACAAATTTATACTTTCAATTGATGGAAATAGTAAATAGTGTAGTGTGCTGTTGCTGAGGAGGCTTGGGCTTGAGTATAATGTTGTTTCGTTTACCGTGATCGAGGTTGTGTTTAAGTTCTAATACTTTTAATTATTACATTTTATAGTTCTGTCTAATAGCTGCATAATATAAATAATCAATAAATGAAATATTTTATTGTTTTTAATACATTCACCGATTAACACTCGTATACCAATTGTCCACATTATAAATTAGAATAAGCCCCTTTCCCCTGAGCTAGTCTCAGGATCTACGCCTTGTATACAGTATTGTTGAGATTTTCATCGTGTTAAAATATCAAGGTAAATGCAATTTGTAATAGTTGAAAACACGAGTATAAGCACGAAATTTAATCAAAATCCATAATGGTTATTCAAGGTTTTTCACATCAACAACACATTTAAAATTTTTACATACCAACTTTGTAGTGACGGAAAACTTTCGTCCAAGCAAACATGGCATTAATTGAAGGGGGAATTGTCCCATTTTAACCTAACTCGGTGATTAAAATACATTTCAAATTAATTATTGAATACGGTCAATTCCGATAACAATGGAGGCTAGAATCGAGTGTAAAACAGTTCGTGCTAGAGTTTCCGGTAAGACAAACCGGAAATCCCCCTGTTCAGTGTTCAGTTGAATGTCCATTGTTGTGAGACGAACATGTGTTTTAGGTCGTGATGCAGTGACATCAAACTCGGCATCAAACCCAACATCAAACATGCCAGCTGACCTCATCAAGATGACGCTTGCAACCAGGTTAGCAATTTAGTTAATAGTAATATTTGGTAGTTAGTTTTTAAAATAGCTTGTTACTAGCTATGTGCCCGTTCTACGCACGGGGATCTTATCGTAGTCAGTTAAAGCCATCTTATATTAAGAACATTAATAAACTCTTATAAAATCATGGTCAAATTCTATATGCTGTCAATCACAGTGGATAGTGTGTATTTTTACCAAACAACCCCGAAACCATACAATTTCGAGATTACTCGCTTGAAAATGTCCTGGCTTGGATCCGCAATATCGTATTTCACATTTCCTTCAAATCGCATTCTGGGAAGTATCGAGTTGTCAGTTCGCATGTTAAGATGGCGGTCCATGTAAGGGCCGGCGACTCTGTGGCGACGAGTGACCAAGGTGTCAGATAACACTATCAGCTGACCTCAAGGTCAAGGTCAAACTTACCTAGACATCCAAGTCCCAGTCTGACTTCTGTCTTCGTCGCGCCGCGCCGCGGACACCGTGCGATGTGGTAGAGGGTTGCCGCGTTGTTGTTTAATTTGTGTTGTTCGCCCGTGTTGTTGGATGGTGGTTGGTGTTGTATTTTTGTCTTTTGGATACAGAGGTAGTCACCCCATCTATTGAAACATCCGTAGCCAATTGTTTAATAAAATAGTATTTTGGAATGCCTCTCATGAAATGCACGACTGTTACGATTCTATTTTCTCCCTTGATATTTGGTTCTTTTGGTTTTGCTGGATATAAAGTCAGTGTATTCTACAAATCTGTAAACGACATCATCGCCCTTTAACTGCTCAATTCTACATTCACTTATGTAACGTTCATTTTATCCTAAAACTAATCATAGTTGTAGCATGGAAATGGGAGTTATACAATCAATTATTTAAGATTGTATCATTGGATTGAAAAAAGCATTTAAGCTTTTGTAAAGATTTGTGAGTGATGGTTTCCCTAAGAACCTTTCTGTGGTTGGTCTCTAATCGTCAGTATTTGTAGCTATAGAATCGCAAGATAACGTTTATGCAATGAGCGTTTGCTTTTTAAAATTGGTCCACATAATCACCCTTTTTTGCAAATATTAAACCCCATTATTATGGGCTGAGATCGTTTTAATTATCAAGGATAGTTGAAACGTTAAAAAATAAGCTAGGAATTTCAATTTAAAAATGTACAAATTCAAATTGTTGATCAAATGTATGTCAATGTTTTCACTATGTCACTGAACAATTCTCTCGTATAATACTCGTAGTTTCATTTATAGTAAAGAGTTTAATGTTATTGTTTCAAGAACAATTGATTTATTGATTTATTGTATTGTTGTTTCATGGTTTTAATTGAAGTGTAAACATATGGGAAATATCTTTACCTACCGTGTTTTAGTTTATTTGAATACATTATATAAAGAAATACCTTTTTAAGGACTGAGAGACCTTTTAATTCGTAAGATCAAGTTTAATCGTGTAATTATTGTGTTTTTAGTTTTAAAAATTAAATGATCAGTTAAACTTTATTTGGTCCAGATTTGTACAAACAAGTGTAGCACGGCTATTACCTGCTTATTCTGAACGAGTTTTTGTTCTGTTATGTAACTTCTGAATAGTAAATATTCCAATCACCTTGAGAAAGTAAATCTTTTAATCTGTCAGGAAGCCAACCTTTCCACTGTCAACATGTAACATTTGAATGTCACATAAACAAAGCATTTGGCTCTAGAAGCAGAACCAGTGGTACCATATCTCAATTCTAAACATTGAGTGCATTGCTAAGTACTGTACGTTTAATTGGTTTTCATCACTCTGTATTCGAAAATAGTCCATACAGCTGAGATCTTCTGCCAATTTCCTAACACCAAAAACAAATAGTGATCAGCTGACTTTTCCTGACATAAACATTACTTTCGCTACACAAACAATACTTTTCCTACAGTTACCTAACAATGTACATGTTCTCTCACTGATTTGAGAAAGCAAAGTGGCCAATTCGCTCATCAGTGAGACAATGTTAAAAACTGAACCACAGGGATATTTGTTTTATAATATTTTGTACAAGATTCGCAAAATCTTAAACAATAAAAACTGTATAAGGTATTTTTTTTTATTATGTACTTCAAATAAAAACAGAAATTCTACATTATTAAAATAATTTATTTGATTTTTGTGTGCAGCAAATTAACCCCTAAATATTTATTTTATAAGCATATTGGGTATCAATTTAAAGCTCTTATCCTCTAGATGTGCCTTTTGTGGGTTTGGATGATATCCCGTGAAAGCCCTTCTTCCTATAGGCTTTTAAAATTTCATAGTTCGTGCTGAATTCTGTTGTCAATCATCTGCACTTTTTCAAGTTTACATTTTTTACATCAAAACAGATTAATCATACAATTTTGTATACATCCATACGAAAATGGGGTTATCTGTTGTTGGAGATGTTTCAGTGAATTCAAGTAAAATGTTATGTTATTTGTGTAAAATGTAATGAATAAATTGACATGCGTTAGATTTTGTGTTTTAATTGTATGTTTCATCAATATTTGTAAATTTTCTCAGATGCCTCGAAGAGATCGCGCACGCGATGAAAGTAATAGGGCTCGCAATGCAAATAATAGGAATATGATGAGACATAATAATTTAACCCTTATTAACTATACATCAAATATACAGGGTGGAACGAAGTTAATGTTAAAATTTGTATGTGATAAACTACTTACTATTGGTAACAAAATGCCACTAATTTAGATTTCCACACCCTCAAAGGTATGGAATAACAGACGAATTAAGATTCCACCCTGTATACATCATGGGTTAGTCACGATGTGACTCAGGTTGCTAGTATTGACCTAATTAATAACAGTACCTGGGGTCCGAGCTTTGCTCGGGGAAAAGTATTTCCCTCAATTACTTTACTCTGAAAAGTATTGCAGATACATTAATCCACTCCCAATCTCCACATTGCTAACCTTCACTACTTACTTCACCACTCCCTACGTCGTGGACCTGTTTGCCCTCCTTCCCTATACCATTTTAGAATTGCAGGTAAATAAATGCCACAGACAGTTCCCACACTCTGCACTGCTAGCATTACTACTTCCTACACCATTTCCTACGTCATGGACCTGTTTTCCTCTCCTCCCTTCTCGTAGCATTTTTAGATTGTAGATACCTTAATGTAGTTCCCATAAACAGTTCCCAGGCTCCAGACTGCTCGCCTTTACTACTTCCTTCACCACTTCCTACGTCGCGGACCTGTTTCTCCCCCTTCCAATGGCATTTTAGGATTGCAGATACCCTAATCTAATCGTCATTAACAGTTCCAACACTCCGGGCTGCTTGCCTTTACTACTTCCTTCACCTCTTCCTACGTCGCAGAACTGTTTCCCTCCATTCCCATAGCATTTTAGGATTGTAGATGCCTTAATCTAATCGTCATAAACATTTCTCACACTCCGGACTGCTCACCTTTACTACTTCCTTCACCACTTCCTATGTCGCAAACCTCTTTTCATCCCTTCCCATAGGATTTTAGGATTGTTGATTCTTTAATCTAATCGTCATAAACAGTTTCCACACTCTAGACTGCTCGCCTTTACTACTTCCTTCACCACTTCCTACGTCGCGGACATGATTCCCTCCCGTCCCATAGCATTTTAGGATTGTAGATAACTTGATCTAATCGTTATTAACAGTTCCCACACTCCGGACTGCTCACATTTACTACTTCCTTCACCACTTCCTACGTCGTGAACCTGTTTCCCTCCCTTCCCATAGCATTTTAGGATTGCAGATTCCTTAATCTAATCGTCATAAACAGTTCCCACACTCCAGACTGCTCGCCTTTACTACTTCCTTCACCACTTCCTACGTCGCGGACCTGTTTCCCTCCATTCCCATAGCATTTTAGGATTGTAGATTATTTAATCTAATCGTCATAAACAGTTTTCACACTCCAGACTGTTCGCCTTTACTACTTCCTTCACAACTTCCTACGTCGCGGACCTCTTTCCATCCCTTCCCATAGGATTTTAGGATTGCAGATTCCTTATTCTAATCGTCTTAAACAGTTTCCACACTCCAGACTGCTCGCCTTTACTACTTCCTTCACCACTTCCTACGTCGCGGACCTGATTCCCTCCCTTCCCATAGCATTTTAGGATAGTAGATAACTTGTTTTAATCGTTATTAACAATTCCCACACTCCGGACTGCTCAGCCTTGCTACTTCCTTCACCACTCCCTATGTCGTAGACCTGTTTGCCCTCCTTCTTTATACTATTTCAGAATTGCAGATACATAAATGCCACAGACGGTTCCCACACTCTGCACTGCTAGCATTACTACTTCCTACACCATTTCCTACGTCATGGACCTGTTTTCCTCCCTTCTCGTAGCATTTTAGGATTGTAGATACCTTAATGTAATTCCCATAAACAGTTCCCAGACTCCAGACTGCTCGCCTTTACTACTTCCTTCACCACTTCCTACGACGCGGACCTGTTTCCCTCCATTCCCATTGCATTTTAGGATTGTAGATTCCTTAATCTAATCATCATAAACAGTTTTCACACTCCAGACTGCTCGCCTTTACTACTTCCTTCACCACTTTTTACGTCGCGGACCTCTTTCCATCCCTTACCATAGGATTTTAGGATTGCAGATTCCTTAATCTAATCGTCTTATACAGTTTCCACACTCCAGACTGCTCGCCTTTACTACTTCCTTCACCACTTCCTACGTCGCGGACCTGATTCCCTCCCTTCCCATAGCATTTTAGGATTGTAGATAACTTGTTTTAATCGTTATTAACAATTCCCACACTCCGGACTGCTCACCCTTGCTATTTCCTTCACCACTCCCTATGTCGTAGACCTGTTTGCCCTCCTTCTTTATACTATTTTAAAATTGCAGATACATAAATGCCACAGACGGTTTCCACACTCTGCACTGCTAGCCTTACAACTTCCTTCCCCATTTCCTACGTCATGGACCTGTTTTCCTCCCTTCTCGTAGCATTTTAGGATTGTAGATACCTTAATGTAATTCCCATAAACAGTTCCCAGACTCCAGACTGCTCGCCTTTACTACTTCCTTCACCACTTCCTACGTCGCGGACCTGTTTCCCTCCATTCCCATTGCATTTTAGGATTGTAGATTCCTTAATCTAATCGTCATAAACAGTTTTCACACTCCAGACTGCTCGCCTTTACTACTTCCTTCACCACTTTTTACGTCGCGGACCTCTTTCCATCCCTTCCCATAGGATTTTAGGATGGCAGATTCCTTAATCTAATCGTCTTAAACAGTTTCCACACTCCAGACTGCTCGCCTTTACTACTTCCTTCACCACTTCCTACGTCGCGGACCTGATTCCCTCCCTTCCCATAGGATTTTAGGATTGTAGATAACTTGTTTTAATCGTTATTAACAATTCCCACACTCCGGACTGCTCAGCCTTGCTACTTCCTTCACCACTCCCTATGTCGTAGACCTGTTTGCCCTCCTTCTTTATACTATTTTAAAATTGCAGATACATAAATGCCACAGACGGTTTCCACACTCTGCACTGCTAGCCTTACAACTTCCTTCCCCATTTCCTACGTCATGGACCTGTTTTCCTCCCTCCCATTACATTTTAGGATTGCAGATACCTTAATTTAATCGTCATAAACAGTTCCCACACTCCAGACTGCTCGCCTTTACTACTTCCTTCACCACTTCCTATGTCGTGGACCTGTTTTCCTCCCTTTCCATAGCATTTAAGGATTGCATATACCGTAATCTAATCGTCATAAACAGATCCCACACTCCACACTGCTACCCTTGACTATAGAATCTAGTAATCTTCAGTATAATCTTTGCTCAATAGTAACAACTGATGTTTTTCCTTTTGTACTGTGTTTTGTTTTGCTAGTATACTGTGGATAGACAAATTACAAGCTACAAGTCTTTTGTTTACTTTTTCCTTGTTATTTAATTCAGCCAACATGGTTACCTAGCAACCCATAAGACTAATGTTAAAATATGTGATTTTCAATTTCATTTTTCTACGTAATTAGATTTTTGATGGCAGTTCTAATTGCAGTAAACTCGTTTTTAGGCCAGAAATAAGCTATATACAACATTTGAAGAAAATCGTCGGAACCGTTTTCGAGATCTTTGTGCAAGCAAGCATACATACATACATACAAGCAAACATTGCTTGTATTAGAGTATAGGATATCCAAGGTAAAGATGATCAACAACCTAAGCACAAATCTGTTGTGACGAAAGGTGATCTGAGGAACTTGTTTACTATGAGAAATTAAACAGGAAGGAATGCGGTTACATATGGTTTATGGTTTTACATTCTAAAAGAATACTGTAATACAGCCTAATCATTCATTTTAAACGATAATTTATAAGTTAATTATAAAGGTAGTTAAAACAAATTAAAAAATCTTATAATGTTACAAAAAAACATTAAAACTGTACGCGTGATTTCATGTCATACTAAGATGCATCAAGTTGCACATATTTTCTAAACCCTAAAGGTACAGTTTTTTCCATAAAGTACCTCTGGAAATTCACTTGCAATATAGAAACACTAAACATATGTTTTTTAGAACACATGCCCAGTTAAATAATTTGGCTTACGAACAAGACCTAAAATACACAGTGTTGCTCGTCATTTGAAATACACATATTCAAAGAAAAGCACAGATAAACAAGTGATTATTTAACGGTGCATACGATCTAAAGAGTCTATAGATAGTTAACAAGTAAATATTTGTCCATGTTGATCTAGCCTACAATTTGACAAAATCATTGACTTTTTATAAATTATAGTTCAATCAAGTGCAATGGACTCGAAACATATTTAATATTATTATTACAACTGTTTATCAAATAACTTCTTGATCAGCATCGAACGTGTTATTAAATAACCTGAAAGCAAAAAAATATGTCATTGAGTGGAATATTTGAAATATAGTAAAAAGACAAAGTGTTGAAATAAAAGTAAACTGTGTTGCATTGAAATCAGAATAGAAAGTAAACAGCATTTGATAATAAACATTTAGGTTGCTATGGTAACAACTATAGCTTCATATGTTCGTTCATACAGGGCGTTCTTTGTAGATATATATCCTGTAGTTTGTATTACAGCACTTTTGACTATTTTATAGTCAATGATGGTAAGACTTAAAAATTACGATTGGTAGTTTTGAACATGTTAATTTTGTTAAAGTGGAAAATATAAATGAATAACAGACTTTTACAACAGTAAGCGTAGTTGAAACTCAATACAATCATACACTAAATTGGTGTACCACTTGACATTATAACAATATTATAAAAAAGTAAAGAACTGTGTTATTCTGCTCTATGTCATGTAAATCATTTTCCCTCTTTATACTTTAGTTACGTAAATTAGTACACGATTTAAATATTACACAACACGTTTTATTGCTCTAAGGCTGCATCTCCCAAAATAATATAAATATGAGTCTCTGATAAACAGATTAAAGATTAAATTAAAAGCTGTTTGTCCCCAACCTCTACATCTAATAGACAGCCAGTGATGCATCTAATTCAACCAGCTTAACATCTGTTAAGATCTCGATAAAGATTAGATTTCTTAAAGATATAAATTACATACACCGTTATTATAATGGTTCTTTTAGTCGTGGTTTAGTGATACGTAACGAGTTTATAGTTCAAACGTTTTTGTGACTACAAAGAGGAATAATTTAAGTAAAAATAATCGATACCATTAGTTTTATTGTGCTGTGGTAGTGTTATGTTCAACTTTGATTAATAAACCTTTAAAGATATGCAAGATATTTTGGAGAATCCGTAAGTAATCATTATTTGTACTAATTAAAAAACAGTTTATCACTCGCAGCATTTTTAGCGTCATTCGAAACAAATGTTAGTTAATAAAACGTTTTCAAATTGTTAAGAAATTATTATGATGATCATTACTCCTAAACTAGTATTACAATGGTATTACTTATTTATACATTCCCAATACTATTTTAAAATATTTAAACTTCAAATATTTTCTCTTGTCAGTAAAGTATACACATCTTTGCACGAGTATTTTACACTTTTTTTACTCGCTACCAAAACTTTTAGAAATCGTGCTACACACATAATATCGTACATCTCCCGGAAGAATATAAAAATTACCATAGTCTTTTTTATATCTATACATTTTGCCAGTTTATAATATTACACCAGTTTTACTGTAAAATAGTTTTCACAGCCAAACCGACCGCCATCCAACTTAATTTATTTCGTTCCTAATAGTTTAAGAAGGTCGCCCGCCAGTGGAGACTTTCGTACAGTGATCAGTAGTCAAGTGAACAGTGAACAGTGAACAGTTTTGTGATCAGTGATTAGTGATTAGTGAATCACTACAGTGACCAACATGGTGGAGAAACAAGAGGAAGAGCATCACCACATTCTGTCCGCCATCTTGAGGCCAATTAGGTAAGAGACAACTTCCTGTGGACGGCGTTGGATGGTTGGTAGACATGCAGCCGGCTCATGACTTAATGGCTCATAGATCATACACAGATGCCTCGTGCCGTCGAGACCGAATTGATTCGGTATTCGGTTTAAACAAAGCATATTTTTCTTCTGGAATTAGTTTGTTTAATTTGAAATGTTATATTAAAATTTACACATTTTAATGTATTGGTCCCGAGTGTGAGATAGTTGGTTACCTGTGGTCATCGTTATAGCAAGGATCATAAAAATGACCTCCCCGAAAAAATCCCTTAAATGTATTCGAAAGGGTGGTGTCAATGCCCCACTTTCCTTACTGTATAAATGCCGGGAATATTTTATTTATGCGTCGAAGGGTAAATAGCCTAAACAATCAAAATGCATATATTTTTTGCAATTACGATTTTAAGAACTTGAATTACATTAATTACATTTTTCGCTGAATACCTTTTTCACATAGTATCCCCGGCTAGCTTGTATTGATTAGGCTGGTATTCACCGTGCGAATAATAAACTTATATCTTAATAACGCTGTCCTAAAAAGGTAATTTATTAAATTCATAAGTTATACTAACCCACCGTTGGTTAATTTGTATAAAACGCCCTTTGTTTCTACGTACCTCAATCTGAAAACCCCCAAAATCTATAGAATTAAAGGCACCATCAATCATGTATGTTTAAAATGTTTTTCTATGAAAATATTTGTAATTTATTTAACTGTGATTTTAACATTACTGAAGATTAACGAAATAAACGATCGTGCATGTACTAGTCTTAAGACTTCCTGTAAGATTGACAAAAATGGGGATAACTAGGCATATATGTTTAATTTTTCATGAGTAAGCTTGACTATGCACACGACGTTAAAATATTTTTCACTGTTCCACAGCAGATTGTATATTTAGCTGAGACAAATTTGAGGAAAACATTGACCAATTTGTACCACTTAGCCGTGAATACTATCAACAGAGTGTTAATTATAGGTTGAATCTCCTTGCCTTGCATCCTGTATTTACTTTGGACTCATCGTTACATGCCGTAGCCGTACGATGTCTAGAATGCATACGATCAGTTTTATATTCATTAGAGATGCTACCGAAAAGCAATATACTGCATATAATTACATTTCTTGAATAACTTCATGATCAGTATCGTACGTGTTATTAAATTACCTAAAAATACGTCAAATAACACTTTCAATAATATATTTACACTTATACTGTTTACTCACAAGACGGTAAATACATATACCGACCCTTTGGACACCGACCCTATAATATATGACGTGCTGCTTAGGACCGGGGTACTTTTAACAGTTTCTGCAATGTTATAGAAAAAAGGATATAGCTTTTGAATAGAACTCCTCTTTCACATAATTTCTTGCATGCTGTTCTTGATTTGTTATTATTATTTTTTTTAATAATGGTTTGTTTAAACTGTCGATACATCGGATGTTCTTCATTTTTGGTCTCCTAGGGGTAAAAGATGGTATGTATAGAATTTTATTTTATTTTCCAGATCACTGTGCTAAATATACAAATTGATGAATTTATGAATGGATATAAACTTCTCTCTTAACTCCTCCTGGCACATCAGTTGCTAAAATACTCACGAAACGGACAAAACTATTACATCTTCTAATATTAAAACTATATCTCGCTCTAATCTGTCTAATTAAGAATATAAATGACCTCGTAGCCTCTTTGGTTAGTAAACCATAAACATTTGTTAATGATGCGTATTTAATGATTATTTTTTCCATTTTGTTTTGTTCAAAAGTAATCAGGAAAATTAAATTCAGTATTCCAGTTTGAAGGCTAAGTACAATCAGTTGGGGTATAATAGTCCAAACCAATTTAATTTACTGCCATAATAAATCGCGTTTAGGTAATTTGTTAATAGTTGGTGATTTAAAAGCGCCATTGTTATAATTCATTTTGGAATGAAAGATAGAGAATGGTGAATGATTGCCCTTTACGATCACCACCAGAAGGGGTGTTTTAGACTGTTGGATTCCACCATTTAAATGAAGCAACGCTAACTTGAATGTGCTTGAATAGACAACTAGATTGTTTCTGAAAATCCGTGGGTTTTCAGTAGATTTCAATGATTTGACACAGAATTGATAATTTGGATATAATTGTGTAATATTGGTGTGCTTATTGTAAAACAAATTATATTTTACGATTCTTCTATTATTATGTGAGCCATACAGTATGTCCAAATAAATCAAACACACCATTAGAAAACTTAAAATTTCGGACAATTTTTTTCGTAATTTTGTAATGGATAAAGTCTAATAAGAAATTAATAGTTATATATAACCTGATGTGTTTTGGTATTTAAACTGAAACGATATACAGTCGACACTGTTAAATAAATAGTTCATAAAATTAATTTAACTGTGAGTCATAAAATAATTAAGGATATTTCATTCTATTTTCTACCAAATTATATCACGTAGACATTAAATATGAGTTAAAAAGTAACACGATATATGTTATTTAAGTTACTGACATGACCGTAGACGAACCATCGCGTGACCTACTGTGGACTCTACCTATAATTGTGGAAGGTAATGCCTTCAACATGCTGTATGCTGTCCGCAACACTGCACTGCGCACATATTGAGGTACAACGGCGTCCTCAAATCTAATTTTATGAAAAAATCACCAAGCAATAAAAAATAGTAAAACATATATTTTTATATGATTTTTTTTTTAATTTTACATTGTTATGGGGGTTTTGATTTAAAGGCCTACTGTGTGGACAGTGGTATTATTTTGGAATATACTTAGCGAAAAACATGATCGCGCCCCACACTGTATTTGCCTTACAATAATAGTTACAGTGGAACCTCGATAACAAGAAGACCCTTGATAGCAAGTGTCATTTTTTAAAATCCCCTAGAATTTATTTTACCCCTAATCACATGTTATTGCAAACCTTGTAAGAAGACAACATTAATAAGTCTTATTTTATTTTATAGTCGCCATGAGAGTCTTGTTATGAAGGTTCTACTGTATTTCTAATATCCTGCATCTATATTAAGATTAAAAATATTACAATAGTGATGAATTTATTTACTGATCATTTTTATGGAGCTTGTTTCATAATACTAGTTAAGACTAATATACTGTATTTCCTAATTTCTTAAAGTTATTTATATTTAACTGTGCTTATTAAGACATGGTGGGCAAAATTGTAACGTCAAAAATAATGGTTTTCTGTCCAGAAAATTTGTAACATATTAAACGAATTTTTGTCATATTCCAATAAATGTCGCGTAATTGTTTTCTACATTGATAGCATACTGTAGTCATTAAAACAAACATGTAGATATTTGCCCGATTGTATTTCAGTTTATAAAACTGTCGGATGAATTCAAGCGCTTGTTTTAAATTAGCTATGCAGTTTAAATTCGTTAGTTTTTTGCAGCGTTAACAAACTATTTTAAATCGTGCTGTGGTATTGTAACAGATAAACGGCATTTAAGTTACACTCTATATAGGCAATGGATATCCGTTTTTAAACATAATCTTATTCATAATCTTCCTTGTGATTTTGGAAGTACAGTTTTAAAAACAACGGAATAGTCAGATTTTTCGTGTGGTGTTGGTATATGATTGTGTGTGAGAGATTGTTGGTTGCGCTGTTTTTTTTTTCAATACCTGTTTTTCATGCAATATGGTTCTCAAAGAACTTATTTATACAGTTTTATTGTTTTAGTTGAAACGTTACCTTTGAGGATATGTAAACAGTGGTTGTTTTTTGTGTTTGTTTTAGATGTTACCAATGTAAACACTATCATCAAGGGGGGTTGGGTCAGTTTTAGTTCATCTGCATTGTGTTAAATTGTTTCTTCGTTTGCATACAATCTTTGACTATTAATACAAGTAAATTAAAACTACAATTAACTGGAAGCTCTAAACCAATACAATGAAAAATATATATACAAACGTTAATGTTGTTTTTGTGGTGGTACGACCATCAATATTGGCTTCCAATAAGAAACACAATTTTCATCTTATGTCTGATGTTGATACTTGTGGTGATATAAAGTTTCATTAAAAATTACCTATCCACATATTTTACTCTCTTCTGATTTACTTGGACTAATAGATTGCCATACCTTTAAAATTATTATTTTTGTACAGATAAGTATGTTAACGAGTGTTTTCAATAACGAAAACATGTTCCCCTTAAGGTCTTGCTAGCGGTCTATACTAAATATATTAAAGGTTTACTGCAACAAGTTAACAAGTATATTTGAATGAATAAATTATGAAAACGTATGATGCTGGTTAGAAAAGAGCAATTATAAATAGACTTAAACTCTACAAGTATCATGTAGTTGACACAGCGAACCGGTTTAAGTCAGTGCAATTTACAAGTGCATAGTCCCGTTCGGGAATGTTGCTGGAAGTCAACAGTCCCGGAAGATCAAATAATTTATACCTGTGCCGCTAGGTCAAAAACTACAATGTTTGCAGTGTCTGTAGATCAAAAGTCCCAGTAAGTCAAATAATACAGTCCGAGCTAAAAACGTGGTCTACGTTAAAGCAATTGACTTATTGGGAATTTGACCTAATGCAACAGCAGTTTTAATATAACGAAATACAGTAAAATACAAGTTCAGTTTCGCTGAGTCAACAGTGCCGGAAGATCAAAAGCAATAAAAGTGAACGTCGATTCAGTGTAAAGTAGACCTCCTGCAACGCTTACAACACCAACAAAACTCGCTTTTAGTTACATCGTGTTTTGTCATAATTAGAATAGAGCTAAAATTATCATATTTGGTACATAGCTTATCTATTAATGCTTCTTGCCAACTGTTTGGTCAACACTGTAAATAGGTATAGCCTTTCGTCAAAATTTGTGGCTAAAAATTGTAGAACTATTTTATGAGTTATAATGTAGTCTACAAATAAACTGTGTAAATGTATTACGCCTCGGAAGGGTTGAAACCTGTCCAAACTATC